CCACTTGTCCCAGAATTATTGACTTTTTGCACATTATTCTCTTTCTATATTTATTTGCTATGATTTGCTATTGTCAAAGTAACATTGCTGCACATACTATCCCGGGTTTGTTTGTGTAAGCATTCTGATGCTGGCAAAACAAACATTTAGCAAATCAAAGCAAATACTCAAGTTCTTGTAGCTTTATATTTTACTATGTTGAGAATTAAGTCATTTGTGCATTACACTGTTTTTTGTTTTCAGTCTTCATGTAGGTCAGGTGTGGAGAAAGGCCCGCCCAGCATTTCCTGATTTTAAAGTACTGATGATGTCATGTCTGACATCAGCAGGTGAAACCAAGAGGAGGGGTTTCTTTTACTTTTTGTTTGTTTCGGGATACAAAGGGATTTGTTGAATATTGTTTCGTATGTAGAGCCATTTAGTTGTGTAAATGTGTTAATCAGAAGAGTGTAATTCTCAGTCATTTGTGATAAGTTTAAAATTCCTCAGCTCAAGCTAGTGGTACGCTGGACTGATTGGAGGGAAATTGATAGTCAACCTTTGCTTGATTCAGATAAGGGAAGAGAGTAGAGTTGTGTTACCAAATCCATGTGCTTTTGAGTTTTGTTAATTAAGTTAATTTGGGGGAGTTTTCTAAAGTTTCACATATGATGGAGGTCACTCTAAATAAATTACTTATCTCTGGGAACCCAAATGTCTGATGAGTCTGCCTACCTACCACCTTCACCGACGCTCCAGTCAGACTACCTCACAACAGAAAATAATAAGGAATTGGGAAGGGGGCAAATACTTTTTTGGATTCTTCTATCTCCCAGCACCAGTAGCAGCTCAACATTTTTACTTTTTCAGTGAAATAACTTCCTTGCTGTATTTTGCAGTTTCCATAGATTTACTACAGATTTTAGACAACTTGAGTAAAACTGTGTTCTTGTGGTTTAAAGTGATAGTTTTCTCCATATTTTGATCAATCCTAAACTATTTGCATAGCTATTAAAGCATTACATTCAGTACAGCCTCACAGATATATTAAAAAAAATACTGATTATCTTAGTAATACTCAAAGTTATCAGTGAAGATAGTAGCGCTGAGTCACGAAACTTCTGATGCGCAAAAGAAGTTCTGTGGATCGATGGATCAAACCAAATCGCAGTAACATCCATTTACAGTGCTAATGGACCCACCATCTTCGTATTTCCATGATCTTTAAAGGTAACAATAGAGGTAACAATAGAGTATTCAAATATCAGTTAATTCATAAGCAATCTTACCAGATTTCTCTTTAATCTATGTGCAATTATATTGAGATAAAAGCATGTCCAGGCCGAAAGGATGGCATTACATAGATTCCCAGTGTGTCCAGTGGATTGACAGGTGACAGGAAAATGTACATTGAATGTTAGTGTGTCAGAAAGAGTTATCTTAACCCAAACATTTTTACCTTGTATCTCACCTGCCACGAGTAGCAATCTAAAATTCACTCTCCACGGATATTTGAAGCTGTAGAGACTTTGCAGATGAAACCAACAACCAGTCCTGTTAATAGTGGACGACCCACTCTACCAGCTCTATCACCCACAACCGCCCAGCATATATTATGAAAACATGATGTCTGACAATAAATCTGGGGCCATTTTTAAATTAGGAGGTTTTTTTTCCATTTTTTTTTTTTTTGTTCCTTGCACCCGGGCCAGGGAAATACATAAAAAAAAAACTCTTTACAATAAAAACAGCTTTCAGCTGCTGTCTGTTCATTACAGGATTTCCACAGCTGGTAGCTCTGCATGTTTGTTTTGGCAGATTTTTACACTGGATGCCCTTCCAGCTGCCCCCAAAGGGATTTGTGTCTCCTCCTGAAACAGAGCCAGGGAGTTTTCACTTCTTAGGTACTGTATTAACCACTCTCTACAATCCAACCTGGAAAATGGCTCGGCCCGTTCATATTTCCATCTCATAAACCAAAAGCCTCTCTAGATAATTTTTTTATTAATATTTAATAAATTTTGTGGCAACTTATAATAACTCTTTGACTAAAATATCTCTGGATGTAAAGCTCTGATGCTGAAGTGTACTGGTTCTACCCGGCCAGCCAAATGTCTGTGACACTGATTTTAAACAGGAGTGTAGGAAATGAATAAGGGTTGACTGAGCTCTGAATTAGCTGTGACTCTATGTGTTGCTATAGAAACTCTTGACAAACACTGGGTCTTACATTGACAAAAGGGGCTTTACTAAGAGCTACTGAGTAAAGTAATTTCCCTGAAGAGCATTTAGGTGTCTGTCACCCACTCAGAATTTGTCATGACCCCCTCCTGAGTAGCCCCACACTGTCAAGATCAGATGTCAGTCTAGGGTCAGAGCATGACTGCCACTCAGTCACCCCAGCTCACATAATAAAAATTTGTTTATAAGTCAACTTAGGCATACTGATTAACCAAGTTATGAAGAGACATAATGCTGTTTTCTGAAAGTGGTGTAGAAGCTGACAGCCAAGTATTGAATTACATTACTTGACCTCTCCCCGTGACAGCAACACTCTGTTTTCTTTAAATATCATAACAGACCACCAACAGTCTGACCCGGAGAGGGAACTTCATCTCTTCTCCTGCTATGATTTATAACACGCTCAGCAAACCAAGGCCACTGCCCGACAACCTTAATGTTTTTGGTGTGTATCTACAACCCATTAAATGTGTATGTTGTTTGGCAAGTTGCTATGACCGTGAACCAGAATAGGTGTAGGCCAGATATTAGTATCTGGGAAAGACAGGTGCTGTGTGTGGCTGGAATAAGCGGGGAACCACTAAGAGCCCACACAAAATAATCCCAGATAACACGCAGCTAAATAAAGCTAAATACAGAAACACACACGTGTCACCAGGAGTGAGGTGGTGGTGGTGGGGGGTAGGGGGGTGTCATAAGGGGAAAGAAGCGTTAGATATTTTTGTAGTACGGTTTTATTTTCTGACAGGGTGATTGCGATGGATCACTGGCTCATACACAAGTAGGGGAGATATAAGCTGGCCAAGCGTTTGTGTTGTGCTACATGTGCTGTTTGTATCCATGGAAACTGCACCGTGACTGTGTCCCCTGATTGCCAGATAGAGACACTGTCCTTAAAGTGATTTAGGAGTGGAGCATCTCAGTTTTAGTTTTACTGCTCAGAAAAAGTGACTCGGTGTGCATCATAAGAAAAAGATTACAGAAAATGCTTAGAAGGTTAGATCTACTGTAGTAGTTTGGTTTGGATGGGGTACATATTAGGTTTGCTACAGACTGAATTAATTTATATCATAACACAGCTGTGTAACAGTGCAACCAGACTGGTTCATTTTAAAAAGGGCTATATAGCAATTTAGAATTAGAAAGAGGTTAATAAATTAAAAGAAAGTCAGTATAAAAAACAAGCTAGAGCAGCAGAAGCCTTTACCCTCGAATGTCAGCCAGGCTCCAAAAACACTGGATGCTTCATTTACCATTGTCCAAAATGATGACATCCTCTGTTTATCCCTTACTCTCTTTCTGCTTCTCTCAAACTGCTGTGCGACCCTTAAGTTTTGGTGAAACATTCATTATGTACACATTCATGCATTCATTTGTTCTTGAGTCTTTACATTTTAATGCTTCACTTAATAGAAAATACTCCATTGTATGCTCTGTTTTTATGCTTTACACTTTTTGGACAAGCAACATAGTATTTTACAGATTCTCTTTTGAGCTTTTGAAAATACTGTATTGTTAAAGATTTTAAGTGTATATAAAATGTTTCTCATGCATGTTTGAAAACAGTTGCACAATAAATCATGATGTAAGGTTAGATGAGAAATACTTTATTTACCTGAGAACTCTGGAAATTCCTGTGTTACCGCAGCCAAAACACTAAACCAGATACATAATGTATATAGCACATATAACACATTTAACCATATGTTCATGAAGCACTTTATTCAATACACTTAAGTACAAGCACACCGACAAGGCCACTTTTACCACATATACCTTTAGTTTTTGTATGTATATTTTATTACTAGTACCACTTTTTAACATGTATGTGTCAACATACTTTTGGCACTGATAAAACAATAATGATGTACAATATTGATGATTGGCCCCAGCACCGCACATTTCTCTGTGCTCCACAAATACATGGGCTGTCACGACACTCTCCAGACAACTTTCTTCTTTTGCCTGAAGAACAACTTTTTACCCCGCGGGTTTGTATTTCACAGTGTTGCTCAGATGTTGCTGTGTCTGGCAAAATAATCACTATGACAAGCAAGTAGATATCCTGGTGCTAAAAATACATGTGATCGACTATTTCTGAGGTCTGACTGTAGTATTTTATTACATGGCACATCGATCGTGGCTGAAGATGATGTGCCCGCTCAGGTATTCTCAGTCCCAATAAAGCTCACTGATGCTATTTTTGAGGGATTACTTGAGAATATGTGTCAGATATACTTCATACGCCTACTCTCATTTTTTATTCATTAGCCAGGAGGCAGAATTTTTCCAGACATCAGGTGGCACCAGGTGAGGTAATGCAACCTCTTGAACACCTACACAGTGACTAAAAGGACAGCAATGGCAAGGTCAAGTGTTATCGAAGTTATTTTCTCCGATGTAAGATGAAATATGCCATTGATGACAATGTTGTATTTCTCCTGCCAGTAATGCATCACTTAATTTACTTAACCACTGGTTTCTATGCACTGTTGTAAATTATTTATTTTCTGTAAAAAATTTTATCACGTTCAGTGTAAAACAAATCAGTAGCTACTGGGTTTGATACAAATGAGAGCAGACACTGCCACCTGCAGGATGATGAACACAAGCTGAATGTGCTAGAGATCAAATAAATAGGTAACTAAAATCTGAATGAGAATAAAATAAATCTGAGAAAGAAAATAAAATTTAAGAATGTAGAAACAAGGTGCAGGAGAAAGAAAATAAGCATTTATTTAATGATACATTAAATTAAATAAAGCAGTATTTGAATAGCTACACATTTAAAAAAAAACATTTAAATGTTTAAACAGACAAATATTTTTGATGAACAGCAGAAAAATAAGAATTCAGTCTAGAACTTTAATAAAACAGCCAAACCTGCCATCTGCTGGACAAATATTGTAGCTAAATTCTAGGGACCATAGATATACGTCGATAAATATATGACAGCAAAACAATTCGGCTCTGTATTCTAAAATGTTACTGGACTTATTGCTGTACTATATTTTCAGTCTGGTAGTAATACATACAGAAACATATATTACAGCTTTCTGACATTAAGTCCTTCTCCTTAAAAATATTTGCTAATACATTGATTCTTAACATTTTAACATTATAGTATTTAACATTTTGTATTTTCAGTTGTTCATAGCAGTGTATTTTTAGACATCTTCAACACGGGTGGTAAATATTTAACCAATCACAGCCCAGATTTCCCACTGCTTTACAACCTAGCTACTAATTACCTTGAACCTTTGCCTCTTCTAATCAATGACAGAGTTTAAACATTTGCTTTAATTACTCCACCTAATTCTGGATAACAGGTAAAAGGTTACAGTTACGCAACTGTTACAGCAACTCAAATGGTGAACACGAACACAGATTTTAGGTGAGAACTCTATAACTTTTTTCCCCTGTTGCTGGTTCACAGGTGTAATAATAATAATAATAATAATATATCCTGCACAATAATAACCATCGTGTGATGCTGCCGACAGAATTAATAATGATCTGATCATCACAGATCATCAAAGATTTTAAATAGGGCCTTGTTTGGACTCCTGAAGTTTAATAAGACCTTAACAGTTACCATGTTTTGGGATTAATTGCATTTGTGGACTGTAAACAGCCTTACTTTCATGCACTCAATTATGGTCCATGGAGCAGTTGAGATAAAAGCATCACTGGCCCTACTAGAAGGAATCTATAGCCACAAGGACTGGGAATCCACCTGCAATAGGCTGGATTAACAAGGAATCAATGGCAATCAGTAAGGGGGCTGTAGATCTGCAGACAGCAAAGGGATATGGCATTAGTCTGGAAACAGCTACAGGCTACAACGATATGGGATTAGCAGGTATATATGATAAAAGGAGTGAAAAGGCTTTGTGCTTGTTGTTGTGCCCTCTTGTTTTCCTTAATCGTTGGTTTAAGTATTGGTGCAACCTATTAAACTTACAGTTTGTGATAATGATAATAATGACTGTAAATGCTGGTTTTATTCTACTTCCTAGTAAACTTAACAAAATCCTTTTTTTTGGCCCCTAAAATAATTCCCTCTACTGCCATTAAAGTTTCACATTAGTGGGGGGTAAACCACCAGGGATGACAATTATTGCAACGTTTTACTTCTGTTTTACGTACAATCACAAACCCTTCAGGATAAGCTATCGTGAGGTGAAAGTATTCTCGTGTTATTGCAGTTGCTGTTGGTTATTTATGACTTCAGACCTCCAGAGGTCATATTAATTGGAGGAACGCACTCTCCTCCCTTTGATAGGCTGGGGAGGCCTGAAGTTGTTTTCCATCCGCATCTTCTGATCGTCGTCCTCTTCAGTGAACAGAAGCATTCTGAACATCCCCAGCTGCATTCAGAGGGACAGAAACATGAACTCTGGAAAAGACATTCATTTCCTGCACAACCCTTTCTCCATATTAGATGCTATAATAAGACAAATATGCAGAGTATAACTTAACAAATCCCATGAAAGGTCCAATAATCAACAACATATGCTCATCTCTAAAGCAAACCTGGCTTCCCATCTCCAAGCACACTTATACTGTAGTCATAATTCAAAAATAGATTTCTGTAAACAATTGCCTACAGCATTTGGGCAGTTTTCTGCAATAATTACTCAAACAGCAGCAGGTTTAGCAAATTTTTTAGAGGCGGTTTGATGCTGCACTGACAGCAGAACAGACGTAGGATCATCTTAGATTAATTTAGAACTTTCTAATGACCTTCTAGTGTTTCTCACTGCAAAGCTGTGGCTCACTGATGAGTTTTAATACAGCTCCATGGCAGAGATAAAACAGCTTCCTAAACTTAAAAGTACACACAAAACCAAGTTAGAGTTTGGCACTTCCTCTCTAACTCTGAGTCTACCATTATGTAGGGAAATGAAAAACAGTAATTCCTACAGGAGTAATTCCTTATTATATAAGGGCTTTTCCCTGCTGGGTCTCCATGTAAGCATTTTTCAATTAAATCCCTGTACCCATCCAGTCATCCATCAGGATAATCAGCTGGAGGGGATCAAAGGCTTGAGGAATGGAGTTATAGTCTGTGGGGCCAGTTGCCTGGCTTACATTCACCCCAAGCAATGCTACAGATATGGGTTTATAGATAGTTCATGACCAACACCCACAGTGCCTCCACCAATAAAACCTCTGGTTCCTCATGTACAATTATAGATTTGCAAAACAGGCAACTAGAGAAAATAAAGGGGGAAATAAAATCAACAAATTAATAGAATAATCCTGAGACTGGCCAGCAGTGGCTACATGAGACTCACAGGGGGACCTGGAAAGCGTGTGCAGGCATCCAGTTAGTTAACTTTGACATCCTGCAGTTATCAGACCTTAACTTTCTGATTAAATTCTGTGCTAAGAGGCGTGGATAAAAAAAAAATACAACTTCATGTGTGGCATGCCTCTTGAATGATAAACACGATGAACATGTTTGCTCTGGAATTTAAAATACGGCATCATAATACCAGTGCATATGATACAGCAGAGAAGAAAGCCCCACCATCACCCCAACAACCACCCAAACCTCACATACACATTCTCTTGTAGGAAACTAAGATTAAGACTAAAGTTATGACTCGAGATTTGTTAGATCTGCTTTCAGGAATGGACCCATGATCCAGTGATGCTGAACTGTGGTTTGAAAACAAAGGAAACATTGACTGGTGCAAAGATGGCAGCACATATGGACGTATGCAGCGGCACAGCGCTCCCAACTATTGTGCACCTTTTATGTTTTTACACCTTTTTGTTGAGTCTTCCTGCAATGTACTGATCACTTTCATTCTTCAGGAACTAACAGACATCTGTCTCAGCTTTTAATCTGGACTTTACTTCGGACAGTATCCCACCTGAGATTGCAAGACCACTGTGTCCTGTGTGGTTTATTGTCGGGAACAGCAAGCAATGCAGACAGCGCAGGGAGAGGAAACGCATGAGAAAAGTAGGGATGGAGAGCTTGCTATCGCTCCAGCTGCGAAAACAACACAAATCACCGCTTCCATCCTCTTCCTTACCAATGCCAGATTTACTACAACCACTTTGTCCGGAGGTGTTGTCTGCTGAAGTCGTGGCTTCATCCAAACATCCACTGCCTCATAGGAGTTACCAAGTCGGAGCCTACACCGCCAGGACCGCAAAACAAAGACTCTGATAAGGGAAGGGGTGGTGGGCTCTGTGCTTATGTGCTAGACCACCCCTTCCCCACTCCCCCTAAAGGCTATTTTTTTCTTTCTATACACTCCCTGGAGACCAGTGGAGCATAGCCAAACATAATACAGACGAAGACTCGTGGATGTCACAACGGAGTGATCAACTGGCGCTTCAATGCCTCAAGCAATACTGGCTTACAGATGAATGTAGGTCGCAATTTCTGACAGATTCACGGTTCTGTTTAATACATTCATTTTTTAACTAAACACTATGAAAAACGATCACACCTGATATTCTTCTTCTGAAGCAACGATTGTAGATCTTCTACTTTAGTAAAACAGAGCTTTTGCCAGAGTCATTACCCACTGCTGAGTACTACTTAATGATGTCTCTGAGTGGCTGTATAACAGAATGTGGAATCAATATCTATTACAGATAAGATTATTGGTGGAGTATAGACTCATTTACTGTTAATGATTAATCCCCAACACAATCATGTCATGACAATATAGCCACACTTCTCCACCTCCATTTTGTAGAACAGAAAACGTTTCTAATGCAAAACAAAAGCACTGCCTAAGTTAGAAACCGGGTGTGTAAAGTGGTCACAATTGCAGCACTCACCTGCTTTTCAGACACTTCGATTGGCTCCTTCAGGATGATCCAGATAACGCTCTCGTGTAGCGGAGGTGTGGTTAGAGAGCCGAGGTAGGTCCAGTAGTGAAGACTGCTGGGAAGCAGGCACTTGGGGTTGAAACCTTTGAAATCTGTGATACTGCCCTGAAACATCAAGACAATATAGCTGCAACACTGCAAAAATGCAACTCACAGACCATTCTTTTTTTTAATATATGCAATAAAACAAGTCAACAATCACAGCTAGGCTACTCACTTTATACTTCACCATGTACAGAACATCCGTTATCATGTGGAGCCATCTGTGGTCATCACCTGTCTTACATAACAGATAGATATATTTTTACACACACAGGCATGCGCCACGTTTCTCACATATTATTAACTTGCACTAAGATGGTTTCATACTATCATTATCGGGCATGAGGACAGAAGATGGGATTGAGAGAAATGTCTTACTTCTAAAAAGATGCCAAGAACGGCAAGACCATCGGGCGCAGTTGATGCCTCTCCATACGTTTTGTACTTGACAGCATTCCAGTGAACTAAATGAAGCTACAAGCGAGGAAACAAAAAGAATAAGAAAAATAAGGTAAATAAATTAAGTCATGCATAGCACATTGCAGCCCTTTCTGTGTGCTATAAAATAAGAGAATATCAGTATCTTTTTATGAGTATAAAGATCTTTTTATAGTAAACCTGCCACTGTAGTTTAAATAAATAAGATTTTTTTTCTCTTCTAAGATAGAAGAAAGTCTGCACCACCACCTGTTACCATATACATTTTTACCAGTACACACACCCTATTATAATTATATAAGTTTTCTTAACCTGCATTTGGCTATCAGGTACTGAGATAAAGGATTTAAACTCAACAGAAACCGACCTCAGATGCAAAGCCTTTTCCTGAAACAGTGTGCTCAGAGCCTTCATGTCCTTTTCCACCCCAGTGGAAATGAAATTGTTTCAGTCTGTAGGGGTTATCGAGTGGGCCTCCCTTGATCACTGTGGGAGATACAGAGAGATGTACTGTAGAGGTAAACAAAACAAAAAAGTGTTGGTGTTTAAATGCAAGCACTTCCCCATACCTTTTGTTGTTTGATTTCTCTTCGCAGGTCTCTGCCTCACAAAATTTAGAGCCCTAAAATGTTCTTCTTTGCATGCTCTTTTCAGGAGTCGCTACAGCAGAGGCTCTGCTTCTCTCTGCTCTACTTACATCTTGTCTCCTCTTTTACAACATTCATGAACCACCTCTAAGGTCTCTTCCTCCTGCCTGGCAGTCCCATATTCAACATCCTTGGTCCAATATAACCACTATCCCTCCTCTTAACATGCCCAAAACATCTCAGTCTTCCTTTAACTTGGTCTCCAAAATGCTCAACCTGAGCTTTCCTTCTGATGTACTCATTTCTGATTCTCATATGGTATAATCTCAGTGAAAATC